TCCCTCCGAGTAATATTCTTCGGGTAGCACTCTCGCGTTACGTACACATACACACCTTGCGCGTGGATAACGCGCATCTAAAGCGGTGCCGGGCTCGTATTTCCGCGCGGTGCAACTTCGAACGGCGTTCGTTGTGCAAGAAAGATCGCGAAGTTGCAGCGCGAATTTCGGCTTCCACCAATGACCGGCGTGTCTTTTTCCACTGCCGCTCCGCCGTAGCCGCGGAGTTGAGTGCGTTAATTACTAAACACGGGCCGGTTACATCGCTCGAAAATTGCATGAATGCATGAATTCTGGCGTACGAGTAATTTACGAGTGCGCCGTTATATACGGGCCGGCATTAGAATTAGCGCTCGCTGTTAAAACATTCACGGCGGGGCCGCAGGTCGGCTGATTAGCCGCCGCGTTATATTAATCAATGAAAATTAATCAACTTCCGGTGCAGAATATCCTCGAAACGCGAAGGTTTCGCCCCGTTAATCTCACCGTGGGGAGTCTCTCGCTCTCTCGCGCGGTCTACGGGGCGAGTTTGTGCAAAATCGCCCGGCGAGAAAGATACTCCGGCTCGTTTCGCCGAACTTGTCGTTCCCGTCGGCCTTCTCTCTCTCTCTCTCTCTCTCTCGCCTCTCCCCGGTTCGTTATTTTTATTTCCCGATCTCAAAGCGTCGCCTCGCTGTTGTTTAATCTTTCATTCCGCGCCATTTGTGATAAAGGGACCATCGGCGTCGCTCTTTTCCACGGCTCCTCCGCGCCGCTTTTCTCGTTTGGCTTTGATTTTTCTCGAGACGTCTGCACCGAGAGGCATTCCGCCGCATGAATTCTTAACCGGGCGAAATTAGCGAATTAAAAGTGCGAGAGGGACGGAAAAAGCCGCGCGTACCTGGGACAGACCGCCGCCAAGGAAGCGGAGAAGGCGGCGGAAGGAGCGGCGGACTCGGAGAGAGAGAGAGAGAGTCCCGTGAATTCAGAGGCGCTCGTCCTTTTCCCCGTTTTACAGCGGCGGCAGCACCTCGTAAATACGGATATGCAGCCTCGTTCCCAAACTGTTCGGTGGGTGGGAGCGAGAGCGAAGAGTGCCTTAATTTTTATTCATGCGCCGGCGAAATGGCAATTTTTCGCGGTATTAAGTGGGCTTTAAAATTGTCCGGTCAATTTCGCCGGTGGGACGTGCTCCTTTTTTCAAGCACCGCTAATCGTCGCCGCACCCTCGCGGGAGAGGCGGAAAAGAGAGAACCTTTCTTCTTTTCTCCTCTCGTCTCTCCTCGTTTCTCGGTGCACGAACGTCGGTCGCCAAATTACATCCCGCGGCGGACACACGTCGAGGATCCGAGACGGAAGTTCCCCACGGAGCGGCGTGCTACGTTATCGATAACGCGCCGGCCATTACGCATCAGCGTCTTTCGTAACGCGGATTATAGACTCGATGATAGACGGATCATTAGGTCATAGGTGTTACCGAATGGACGCGTGGATTAAACAGACGCGCTCGCTCTCTCTCTCTCTCTCTCTCTATCCATGCTCTCTCCAGCGCGCGGCGTTCACAATCGCGCCCGAGGGTCCTTTGAAGACCGGCACTGTCGGCTGCTTTTCGCAGCGGCGATTTTCGCAGGCAACACACGCGCGCCCGGTTAGCGGCTCCGGGAAAACCGATTAATCCCTGGCGCGCAGGGTGGCCGATCATTAGATTTTGGCCGGGAAATTGAGTTTTGCCGGCTGCCGAAGGGGTAATCTTTGGTAGCCTCTGGCCTGCCGCTGCTGGCGCGCGCGAATTCTGTCTGTCTTCCTCCCTCTCTCCCTCTTTCTCACTCTCTCTATCTCGCCGCATCCCGATATCGTCGCATACGTACACACGCGTGCGTTCGGTGTGCATAGGTGGTGGATATCCTATACGGCCGCGCGTTCACGCGCGGTCGTGCGCGCTTGCGACCGACGGTGGCGGCGCGCGTAACTTCGGTTCCATTATTGAGCGATCGGGCGATCGAAAAATTCCCGCGCTTTTTCGCGCGCTGTCGCCCCGGTGGGGCGAACGGACCTCTCATTGGCTCGGCCGTTTGGTCATCCTTGCGCGCCACTGGGCGCGAGAGGGGGTGGTGGATGGACTCGCTCTCTCGGTTGCTCTTGCTCTTATTCTCTCTCTCGCTCTCTCCCCCTCCCTCTATCGCGCGCACGGCTCTACACCCTCGCCAGGTACTTGTCTAGGCTACACACAGATATTGACCAGCTATCGATATCGCGGACAGTCGTCGATATTATATTCTCTGTGCTGCCCTCCCTCCCCCTCGCCGACCCCGTTCTTTCGTTTCTCTCACCATTTGCCTCACCCTCCCTCCCTCCCGCCACCCGGAGCGCGTTCTCGCAAATTTCGGTTAATGAATTATATGTATAATATATAGACACGCGCGTGCATATATGCGCGCGAACGATGTAACTCGTGTGCATATTTGCGGAGCGTTCGGACGAGAATGGGTAGGTGGGCAGGATGGTAGGTGGAAAGGAGGGNTTTTGAACGCGAGCGACCAATCGCCGCGTGCCCCGCCGCGCCAGAATTTCATCGAAATGAGAAATCAATACGCGGCGCAAACGCTATAACGGGATTGTTCCGTTGCAAAAATGCCCCGCGGTTTCCGAGTAGCCGCCGCCTCTTGCATTCGCGTCGTTATCTCGATTAGCGATCGCTCGTGGCGAATAATTAACTAAACCGGCGCTATGCGACCGTCTCCCTTTTTCCCAATTTTTGCGGGGGCGCGCGCCAACGTAACCGGCTGAAACTGAAGGAAACGAGACCGCCGCAAAAGAACGGGGGGGAAAGGCTCATCGTGATTTTAGCGACCACCGAGTCCACCAAATTTCTATCGGGCGGCAGCGCGATGAAAATAACAGATGTCGCGCATTTTCACCGTCGGATTTTTTTTTCACGCGCCACGCATGACCGATCAAGAGACCCGGCAGCGATTATCGCCGTGGTAAATCGGTAGAATCGATGGAACCGCGATGATTACGATCGACTCGTTACTAATTACCGCAGCGTGGCGGTTGGCCCGGTGGAAAGGCGACGTACGTTTCATAGTCAACGAGCTCGTCGACGAGCATTCGCACGCTACGGATATAAATTTCGCACCGCCGAATCGCGTTCGTTTCTCCTTAAGACGTCCGAAAATAGAAATATTCCGATTCGCGATTAAACCCGACTCCGTGAGCTCCGCGAACGAGCGTCATGAGATACCGCTGCAAGTTTCGCACCCTCTTTCCCGTATGCAGCCGGTCGGCCGGGGGCTGCATACGGCTGCATTTAAAACATTTTATCGATAGAAGTGTGGAAATCCAAAGCGGCCCTCTACGTACGCGCGTGCATACACGCCCAGCTCGAGCACCACCCTGCGGAAGAGGACGACGACGAGGAGTGGGATATGTGGGGAAGGGCGGTTATTAATGTAAGGGGTGGCTGAGCAGTAGTTATTCGGCTGTGGGTGGTCGAGATAGAGAGAGAGAGAGAGAGATGGGCCGGCTAAAATCAATGCGAGTCCTTCTTTCGCCGCTATTTACGGTTAAGAAAAGACAGGCTCGGCCGGCGTTAGCGTGGCGTGGCGCGGCGCGGAACCGCGGTGGAAATAAAAAGATAAGCGCGAACGTGGAAAACCAGGTTACAGGCGGGATATTCTCGTCAAACCCGCGTGGCGTCTGCTTTTATAAACCTGATCGAGCGTGCGGCGACTGGCGCGCGAACCGAGTCGAATCGCGCGCGAGAATATTGCGGATCCGTGTCGCGAGCGTTCTCCTCGGCTCGTCGAAGAAAGTTTAAGAGAGCGGCTCGACGAGAGAAAGAGAAAAAGGACAGAGAGAGATTACGTGTTACGAGTTACGTGTTACGTTACGTTTAACATCGAGCAAAATCTCCGTTTACTCTGTCGACGATGAGCCTCGCCTCTGGTCGATTGTTACTCAGGCTCCCGTATATCTATCTCTCTTTCTCCCTCCCCTCCCCCCCCCTCTTTCTCTCTCTTTCGACCTCTTCGACTCGGACTGATTCTCGATTAAATAGCTCGAATACTCCGACGTGGGTGCGCCTTTTTTCTCGTTGCCTCGGCAAAGCAAATCTTCGTTAAGGTCAACGAGATTTTTCCAAGGGTCGAGTCTAGCAGTAGTCGTGCGCGCGCGGCGCTGACCGTTCGCTTGCGAGGCTAATACCTTCCGAGTGACTACGCTCATCCCTTAATGAAATTCTTTCTACCCGGACGCGACCCATTGGCTGCCTTTGCTGCCAGATCGGGTTTTCTCATTATTGCAAATCCTTCGGCCCGGCCGGTCGATGTTATTTTAGTCGCGGGCCGCCTTGCGCGCGCGATTGCAGATGCATCATTGTCTAAATAATCGGAGGTCGGTTGCGCAGCGAGCGCATATCGAGGGGGGATGCGTGCGCTCGTCCGTTCTTTCGCGCTCGTTAATTCATTCGTTCGCTCGTTCGGCAGAATCTACCGGGCGTATAGGAATATTTTACCTGGCGCGCATGTTGCATGCACAAAGCAATTTTGCACTGGCGCGCATTCAAGTTAGTCACAATCGGGACGCACGATTGCCCGTACAAACAATAACTGCATATTAATTTATTGATTATTGGCTATAGCCCGCGCTCGCGCGCGATATATAGTATTCATAGAATTTACTATAACAGCAATATATATTCGTGCACTAATTTATTGACCAATAACTCGGCGGCGATTCTGTAACGACGAGCCCAGGGCGAGCGGTGATGCTGGTGGTGGTGGTCGGCGGGAGGGGGGAGAGGAGGTGCGCGGGGGAGGGGGTTATAACGCGTATTATTATGCATTAATTTATACGGGCGTTGCCGATCGGTCGCGTTGCCGATTTAATAAATCGGCCGAAATAATGGAGAAAAGCTTCCCCGGGCGAATCGGCGCGATGTACACCGATCGATCGATCGACCAACCAACAGGTCGACCAAAGGCCTAAAAAGGCAGACTGAGATACGTTCGCTCACTCACCCGTATGCAGTCGTGTGTGCTGCTGCACGTGGCTCAGCTGCTTGAACCTGCGGTCGCAGTAGCTGCACTTGTACGGCTTCTCGCCAGTGTGGACCCTGATGTGCTGCACGAGCTGGTGGTTGCTGGAGAACGACTTGAGGCACTGCTGGCACTGGTGCGGCTTGACCTCGTTGCTGGCGATCATGCCACCCGGTCCGACGCCGACGCCGACACCGACGCCTAAGCCGGCCAGGCCGCCCGGGACGCTGCCGGGTCTCGCCGTCAGTGCACCCGCGCCCAGCTCCCTCGCGTGCATCTGCATCGCGCTCTTGTGCATGAAGATCTGCGAGAAGAACTGCCGGGGTTAGTTGGTACGCTGTACTTTTCGCCGAGCAACGGGGGATGGCAGATCGACCCTGACCGCCTCTCTCGCTGTTCTCATTTGTTTTTTTTTTTTCTTTTCTACGCCCGGTCGATCTCGCCATCACTCACGCATCCGCCGAAGCCGGGCAGACGTCCCCTCGCCGCGACATAATGATAACGCACGATAACGTTCTTCGTGATGGGAAGAAGCGGGAGAGAGAGATCGTTGCGGCGAGGCGACCTCGAGGTGAAACGTCCGTACCGCGGATTTCGCTGATCAACGCGTTAAAGACGCGCGTAACTCGGTCTTCGATTTATACTTCGAGAGGAAAAATCCAAATCGCGAGTAAACGATAATAAATATCTTAGCCCGATATTCATAGTCGGATTTTATATTTAAGGCCGTCTTAAGCTTATCTTCAGGCACCGTGATACTGATCGTTTCATTGGTTACGATGCATCTGAAGATGCACTCAGGACGGTCTTAAATGTAAGATCCAGCTATAAAGCTAGCTGCCCTCTCAGATGCGTCTTTGATATCGAGAAAAATATACTATTCCGAGGTACGGCATTCACCTTCGCAGCTTCGGCTGATTGATAACGCACACGGTTCGATCGATCCTCGTATCTCTGAAGCTTGCGCAAGTTCTTAGTGGATGTATCCAAGACTAGAGCATAACTGTTTTAAGTTGCGAGAGCAGCGCGTAAAATTGCGCCGCTGCTCGTCGTATCGTCGAACTCGAGTCGAATTGGTGGTGGTTGAACTCGGCGATTAGAAGTTACCACCGTCCAAGGTCGCGCGGTGGTAGAAGGCCTGACCTGAGTCGAAATTTTGATTAATCCTGCAGATTCCGTCGAACTTGCCGGCTCGATGGAGAATCTTGGAAAATAACGTTATACATTGCTATTGCCCGACACTACAAATAGTTTGCTCGCCTGTCGTGTTCAAAATGTTGAGGCTTGAGGAAGCACTTGTTTCACAATTATTTAATATGTTCGTTTCAGTCTCGATGTTCTACCTGTATTTAATATTTCCAATAAACAATGCATTAATCGTGCAACTTACTCGACCGAAAACAGAGTATATGCAATAAGCAAATATCAAATAATTAACGCAAGCAAATAATTAAATTAATGGATACGGAAAGAAAGAAAAAAACGTTCCTTCTTTGTAACCTGTTATTAATATTTTTATTAGTGTTGAAAATTTCGATAGGATTCGTAGATTCAACAAATGTGTCTATTAATGCTGTGCGTCGTTAGAATTTCAAATTTGGATTCGGTACGGCGACTCTTTGAATCGAAATGAAAAGAAGGCGAATCCAGAGATCTGCGTAATGTTTTGAGAGTGCATTTAATGTTGGGATCTCGCGACCGTTCAATGTCAGGGGACAACGATTGACGATATACGAGAGATGACGGTAGCCCTTTTTTGCCTATTATTTTGGTAATCGAGCGTGTCTGAAATTTTCGCGCGACCGAGGGACGCGTACATACCGCGAGGCGAAGCACGGTGTATCAGTGACTTATCATTCCCGTCGGTCCTTAAAATATTTAATCGGGCTTTCGTCGGCATCGCGTTATTTAACTATGATCGAATCGCATTTGCGCGGATATTAGCGTCAGTGTTAATGTCAGTGCCACGATGGAGTATCCGGAGTAGCAGGGTGCTGAATTGGGAAGCCGGGACACCGCGACGTGGACAGCGACACATTATGTATTTGGTGAGTCAAATCATTCGTTATGCAGAATGCTTTCGATTTTAATGAGCATTTGACGAACTTAGCGGAGAATAAAGAGATATTGAAATTTAAGTTGGCATTCATCGTCGTTTAAATAGTTATAGATTTATGAATCTTGAAATATTCGTCAGCATGTTACCTATTTCTGGAGGTTCAACTTATAATATAGTTTTTACTTAATTTCATATAACGAGAACATTGACCCATACAGCTGAATAACGGTTCGTGAATATGAATCTATAATGAGTTTATACTCTTGATCAAGGATTATAAGTAATTTACAACTATGAATACCGGCCTTAAAATAAAATATCGTTAGCGAATATTGATTTACGTGTCTCTAATAATACATTCTTCAACTGCGAGTCTCATTTTATTTCATTTGTCAATGTCTGCTTTTTGCTTTTATTGACCATTGTCATGTTTACCGAATGTAAATTTAAATCTCTCTATTGGTGCACAATATTATTGAGTACATAACGGTTATTTTTGCCTATATAGCTTCACGTCAGCTCTTTTAAGAGCTACAGATCTTGATGAAACTTCCAACAAAAAAAGAAAAAAATTACGAAAGGATAAGAATGAAATATGTTATTTCCTGTATCTACTAATATTTAATTATTTAATAGTTGCTTGTCTTACATATTATATTTTATCATAATATTCAGGCAATAAAGCAGACGAAAGAAATGACATGAAACGAATACATTGCATAAAAAGAAACGCTGTTGACTAAATAAAATTTTCAACAGTAGCGTAATAGCAAATCTCCTTGATTCGATGGCAAATATCATTAAAACTATTATGTTACGTATTGTTTCAACGATATCATTATTAAATCAAGAAAATTTACTCCAATTACGCGTGCTGTTGGAAATTCTATTGATTCAACGGTATTTCTTTCTCCGTGTGCATATCGGAATTAAGAGGAAAGATTCGATGCAGGTAGAATATCGCGACAATCGAATGCTAAATAATCATGAATAATAAGTCCTCGTACAAACCTCAACATAGCGAATACGACGGTGAGTAAACATTTGCGTCAAAGTAGGAAAATAAACCCGTACAACGTTACATCTCGAAATCCCCCATTGGCCCTTCAAGTCCGACGGAATTTGCAGGGTTAATGCCGAGGCAAAATTTCGACTCGGGCGAGAAGCGGCGTTCATAATTGCGGAACGACGGAGCAACTTGACCCAGTGACCGATACAGCGACCTCCGATTCCGCGAGCGGCACGGCGAAATTTGTCGCTCGGATCGTTCTAAGCCGCTGTCCCGATTATCAGTACTGTTACCGCATGTTTACAGTACACGTTTACAGTACCGTTAGACGGCGCTTTACGTGAAATGCGACTCTTCGAATTTGCACGCGCGTCACTCGTGATACGTTCGTGTACATACGCTGCGGCCGCTTCTATATCGCGCGTTATCTAACGTCCTACATCCTTCGACTTCGACCACTCTCGCGAATGCTTACAATTTAACGGCTCCGTTTCCATCGATCTCGAGGGCGGATAGTCTCTTGAAGATAGAGGATCACTCGAGGGAATCGCGGCGTACACGAGCACCGCCGGGGCTCAATCACTTCTCCGGTTCTTCCTGAGCGCCGCGAGGAAGAACCGAAACTGATAGAGGCGGCCAGGCCCGCGTGTGTAGCCGGCGGAGGAACGTTCAATTTCGGCTTCTCCTCGTCCGGGGAACAGGTGTTGCGCCACCGTGGGTGTGGGTGTAGGTGAACGAACGAAAGGGTTAACGTTAAGGCCGTACAGTCCGCGGCAAGAGTCGGCGGGCCGTCTCGGCGAAGCGGGATTTCTCGCTGCGAGGGAGAGGAAGGGCCGAAAGTTGGCGGAATTAAAGAGGAGTAAAATCGGTGGAGCCGGCCAGGCGGCAGGGACCTACGTACTCGCGCGGAGATGACGGGGGGATTTTATTAAAATATGTTAAAACTGTAATTAAAATCGAAAAATCTCGTGAGAAGTTTTAAGAATCTTAGGTCACCCCCTTCGCGACCAGGGGAGCGTCGGTTGGGAAGGAAAGAAAGAAAGAAAGAAGGAGAGCGAGATAGACGAGAAGAAGAGGCGCGGCCGGCGAGACAGAGAGAATTGAAATTGTCACCGGGGGTTCTCAAGTTTTCGCGAGTTCAACCCTTCCCCTGCGTTCGCGACGTGGCTGTCGGATACTTGACGGGCGACGATCTCTCGGCGCTGGGCATCCCTGGACTCTTTAATCCCCGTGAGAGAGGGAGAGGCTGCTCGCGATTTTATTCCGCGCCTTTTTCCTCGCCTTCCTCTCCTCTACCTCCGCCCCGCTCCAGCACGCCGGGGACCGGCTGTTGTTCGTCGTCGATTTGAATGAAATTGCTCCTGTTTTGCGGTACTATTCGAACGGAAGGGCAGGGTTACGGACGGCGATGTGTACTCGTTTAATCGATGTACGACCGGCTGTGCCGATATATCCGGCGATGTACCTCGCGTGTCGCGTCGTTGAAAAACTCTTCCTTTCTTCCTTCCTTTTCGCGGGACGAGAGACGTATATATCGAGGTGAAAGGTCGCCGGGAATAATCGGGAGAAACGGGCTCGCCGAATGTGCTCGACTAGGGAAGGGCGCGAATGTACGCCTCTGAAAAGAAGCGAGTCGCGACGCGCGGTATATTTCCTTACTTCCGCGTCGTGTAATTACAATTTGCCCGTTCGATATCTCGGAGACGTTTGTAATTGCTTGCCAACACAGATTTTCCCGCCCCGAGCCTTCCCCCCGCCGCCCCTCGCGCGAGCGGACTTTCACGATGATTAACCGGGAGTGACGGGGAAGGGTTCGTGAAAAACGGTTTGACTCTCTGCAAAGGCGGAGTCGCGTCGCGAATTTTTAACGACTGTCTCTCCCTCTCTCTCTCTCTCTCTCTCTCTCATTCGAGTGGCCCATCAGGATTTCTCAAAACTTCGGACGCGCGAGGAGAAGAGTTCGTTCGATCGAACGACTCGTATTATCGCATGCTGATAATTACCCCGAGTTACCCCGCGTTGCGCTCGCACCTACGAGTCCCGAAGTGCAAAGCGCGAATTAAATGTGCATCAGACATTCACGGGTATCTCCGGACTGCCGCTAATTGTCGCTGATTAAATTAGAATAAAATCGTCATGAACGATGTTGCCGTTGTGTCTATAATCGATCTCAGAAGCACGTCGGGGCGGGGTCAGCGGCGGGGAGGGCGCCTCATCGGGCAGCATCGACATACGA